AGCTAGCTAGCCAAGGGATAGGAAGCTAGCTAGCTATCCAGGGAGGGATCCACCTAGCTAGCTAGCTAGCCACCCATCAACGCATTCAGCTAGCTTTCTATGAATCTATATATCTCTGTATCTATCTATCTCTTCAACTATATTTCTATCTATATCTCTAGCTAGCTATCCATAAATATATAGCTAGCTAGCTAGCTGTGTATATATGTTAGCTAGCTAGCTGGCTAGCTAGCTAGCTAGCTGTGTATATATGTTAGCTAGCTAGCTGGCTAGCTAGCTAGCTAGCTAGCTAGCTAGCTGTGTATGTGTTGCGCTGACTATGCGGGAGAACAAAAGCTCGTTGGAATCTGCGTGCATAAGAAGCAGCAGAAAAAGAAAACAAAAAAAAAGGAAAAGAAAAAGAAAAAGAAAAAAACAAAAAAAACAACAAAGACAGCCAGTGGCTAGCTACGCTCGGGCGCTCCACCTGCACACACACAAAATATAAAAAAAAAAAATAAATAAATAAATAAATAAATAAATAAATTAATAAATTAATAAATAAATATATAAATATATAAATAAATAAATTAGTGAAGAAATAAACAAAAATAAAAACGAAAAGGTGTTGAGGGTTTTTGTCTCTTTCGGTGGGGTGGCTGTACACCCCAGCTGTTTCTATAGCTACCCTCAACCCTAAACAACAGCTAGCTAGCTAGCTAGCTAGCTAGATAGCTAGCTAGATAGATAGACAGATAGACAAACAGCTAGCTAGCTATATACGGCCAGCAGGCTAGCTAACGAGCCACCTCTATGCCTCTTCCTACAGGTGGAGTTACATACAGCTAGCTAGCTAACTAGCTAGCTAGCTAGCTAGCTAGCTAGCTAGCTAACTAACTATGCGCATACATCTCTGTCTCTCTATCTATCAGCTGGCTATCTATACACCTCTCCACAAAGACAGCTATCTATCTATCTATCTATCTATCTATCTAGCTAGCTGTCTTTATAGAACACCTAGCTAGCTATCTATCTATCTATCTATCTATCTATCTATCTATCTAGCTAGCTAGCTAGCTAGCTAGCTAGCTAGCTAGCTAGCTAGCTATTCTTTTTCTCTTACAGTGAGTTGCAGGAGAAGAGCAGCTTTTTGCTGCTGCGAAAAAAAACGAAAAAATGAATCGCAAAATTCAACAGAGGCGATGGAACCGCTGCACATACACCACATACACAGATACAGCTAGCTAGCTAGCTAGCTAGCTAGCTGGGGAGCTAGCTAGCTAGCTGGGGAGCTAGCTAGCTAGCTGGGGAGCTAGCTAGCTAGCTGGGGTGCTTGCTAGCGGGGGAGCTAGCTAGCTAGCTAGCTGGGGAGCTAGCTAGCTAGCTAGCTGGGGAGCTAGCTAGCTAGATAAGGTGCTAGCTAGCTAGTTGGGGAGCTAGCTAGCTAGCTAGCTGGCTTGCTAGGTTGATAGGTAGGGAGGTAGCTAGCTAGCTGGGTAGGTAGGTAGATACGTAGCTAGCTAGCTAGCCGTATAGGTAGCTAGCTAGCTAACTAGC